GAAACTTTCAGGGCACGCCGATTGGTGTTGCCATGGACAACACCAGATTAGCCATTGCTGCAATTGGAAAACTCATGTTTGCACAGTTCTCTGAGCTTGTCAATGACTTTTACAACAATGGCTTGCCTTCAAATCTCACAGCAAGCAACAATCCCAGCTTGGATTATGGGTTCAAAGGCGCGGAAATTGCCATGGCGTCCTACTGCTCGGAGCTCCAATTCCTTGGCAACCCTGTCACAAACCATGTCCAGAGTGCAGAGCAACACAACCAAGATGTCAACTCCTTGGGATTGATTTCTTCGCGAAAAACCACCGAGGCGGTCGACATATTGAAGCTCATGTCATCCACATTCCTAGTTGCACTGTGCCAAGCTATTGATTTAAGGCATTTAGAGGAGAATTTGAAGAGCACAGTGAAGACCACCGTGAGTCAGGTTGCCAAGAGAGTCCTCACCGTGGGCTTCAACGGCGAGCTTCACCCCTCTCGGTTCTGCGAAAAAGACCTCCTCAAGGTCGTCGACCGTGAGTATGTTTTCGCCTACATCGATGATCCTTGCAGTGCTACATATCCACTGATGCAGAAACTGAGGCATGTACTAGTTGAGCATGCATTGAGCAATGGTGACAAGGAGAGGAGTACAAGCACTTCAATTTTCCAAAAGATTGCAACTTTTGAGGAGGAACTGAAAACCCTATTGCCGAAAGAGGTCGAAACCACCCGGGCCGAGTACGAGAACGGGAAAACAGCAATCCCAAACAGGATCAAAGAATGCAGGTCTTACCCATTGTACAAGTTTGTGAGGGAGGAGTTGGGGACTGATCTATTGACTGGTGAGAAAGTGAGATCACCAGGGGAGGAATGTGACAAGGTTTTCAGTGCTATGTGTGCTGGGAAGTTGATTGATCCTCTGTTGGATTGCTTGAAGGAGTGGAATGGTGCTCCTCTTCCTATTTCTTAAGAGTGCTTTTGGGGGATTTTTTTTTTTTTTTTTTACAAGGCTATAGGACCTTGAAACTGCAAAGTGTCATGTTTTTTCTTTAAATATTACTTTTTTATCTTTCCATTTTATTGCATGTATGTTATCTGTATTGTAGTGGATCTTATGTGTATCAACAAAATGTATCATAAACAAAAGTAATAAAAGGTGTCCATTTCTTTAATAAGCTCTCTGTGATTCTTGATGGCTTGCATGTGGAGAGTTTTTTATTTTTTTTATTTTGTTAAAGAACCATGTGATTGAAGTTTCAAAGATTTTTGTCTAGAGGCTAATGCGCTTAACCAGTTAAGCTAAGCCCGCCCACCCCCTATGAAGTGATAAAATTTGTATCAACTCTCTCTCTCTCTATCTCTACGTTAGCAAAAGAGATATGGGAAGAAAATTACAGTAACTATATATCAATCCAACACCAAATGATCATTAATTCTTTGCTTCTTTACAAATGACAAATTCCAAATGATGTAATCAGAATCTAAACACTTTATAGTACATCTCATACACGAAAATGAATGCTCTCCTAAACACCATAAAAAAAGCATCCAAAAAGTTGACCAATTTTTTCAAAAAGCAAACTCTCTGCAAATGCAATTTCCTGGAGAAATCTTACTAATCTCTTTCATTCGGGGTCCAACTTTAGCTTGATCAGCTCCAACGTTAACTGAAACTGCAAACATGCTTTCTGCTCAGACTCCAACTCACTCTTCAGCGTCTTAACCTCCTCTGCTTCTCCCAACAGATCAATAATGCTCATCAAATTCTCCATCTGTTTTTCCAATTTTCTTGCAATTTCCACCAATTCCACCAGCGATTCCACCAGCAACCTCACCAGCCCGCATTGCCGCCGTCTGAAGACTCAGCCGGAAAGCTGGAAGTAGAATACAACACAGCCGGATAAATCGGGTTCAAAACAAACTCCCCCAAACTAGTCTGCAACAGCATAATATCTTCCTGCTCTCTCTCCAACGCATTCTTCAGCATCCAAATGTCTACGGGATCGTCTATGCTCACCTCAACTGCTCCCTTCAACTCACCAGTAGTCATCATCACAATCTGTAATTGCTTTGCCAACCTCGCTACAGATTCTGAAAGCCGGAATTTGCCGCCACAAGACTCAGAGCTGGGAGCAGAAGACGACTCAGCCGGAAAAACGGGGTTGAAAACAAAGTCTTCCACATTGAAATTCCATCCGCTAAACCCCATATCCTCACCCCTTAGTTCTCCATAGTTTACTTTGCCCAACAAGTGAGCCAAACCCCTGTTTCTTTTCTTGAACCTCTCCTCGACGCTCTCCAAATGCGGAAGCAGAGTCCCCACCAGATAATCCTTGCCCCCGCAGTTGTCGAAAAACGAGTGCTTCAGCAGCGCCTCTGCCGCCGGCCTCTTCTCCGGGTCCCGATCAAGGCAAGAAACCACCAAGTCCTTGAAAGCCGCAGAGTACTTCTGGTTCCGGAAATCTTTGATGATGTTTTCGTAATCCGCAAGCCGGAACCTGTTCTTGACCTTCAGAATTTGAGTCTCTAATAACAGCGGCAAGCCAGACAGGGGAGGGCCGCCCAGAGCCAATTCCAGCGCCGTGACCCCAAATGCCCAGATATCCGCCTTGCATCCACCTCCACCAGGCGCCACCCAATACGGCCTTGTAGAAGTGTCGTTTGCCCCAGTTGAAAAATCGGCGTCGTAGAAAGAAGCAGAGACCCCAAAATCTGCGAGCTTAACGGACCCATCAGAGTCAACCAAGATGTTTCCGGGCTTGATGTCCCCGTGGAAGCGTCCGTGGCTATGGAGATACGACATGGCATTTAGCGTCTCTTTCAGGACGACTGCAATGCAGGGCTCTGGTAATCCTCCTGGGAAAGCAGAGGGGGCGATTATTACGGATTGCAGAGAGCCGAAGGTCATGAACGGCATGACCACCCAGAGACGGCGCTCGGCGGTGGTGAAGGAGCAATGATCGCCGAGAATGTTGGGGTGGGAAAGAGACAGAGTCTTGGTGTCGCGTAGCTTACTCTCGAAATCGGCCGCGGATTGATTGAGGTTGACGGACTTGATTGCGACGATTGCAGAGTTCATGGGGACGCAGACTGCCTTGTAGACGAAAACCTTGTCGCCAGAGCCGATTTCTTGGAGGTTTTTGTACGCGGTGGAGTCCAACGGGAATTGGACCTTTTGTTGGTCATCTTGGTGGGAGGGAGAAGACGAAGAAGTCGCCATTGAAGACGAAAAAGATGAAATCTTGAAGAATGGAAGTGGGTTGTTTGGATTTCTGGGAAATGGGTTTTGATGGAGAAGATGAATGTAGGGTTTCTGCAGAACTAATTTTTGTGAAAGGTTGATGCTTTGGAGGAAGCCGACGATGCACGAGACAGCGTGACTGTGTACTGCTCTGCTTTTAATTACTTATATAATAAAAAATGGTAAGAAGATGAGGTGATTTTGGGGATTTTCTATCCAATTGGCGGATGAAAATTATATGTAAGTTTTAATTTTTCCCCCTAGATTTTGTTAATTTGCAAATCATCAACATTCTGTTGCGAGGTTGTTTTGGTAATTAGGATTGGGTGAGGTTGGTTAAGATAACAATACCGTTAGAGTTAGTTGGTTTTCTGTTATTTGCCATGTCAACGATATCTTGGGATGCAAGGCATGATGCCCAGATATGAGACAACCCATCTCACTACCATCTAAGAGAGATGTGTCATATATCCTCCTATGCTCATCGATGCAATCGTATAAATATTTTTAAAAGACTACAAGAATTAATATAAACAAAATACATATTTAAGACCTGCAAGTCCAATAACAAGAGCGATCTATGAACCTATTGAAATCATTCTCCAATATGTAAATAAAAATCAAGTAAGCTCTCAAGAAAAAAAGTCTTAAAAGGTCTTAAGTTCGTGTTCGAAAATAACAAATTCGTAACCACCTTATTCTCTTTCTTTTAGTATAAATATATCATTTTATAAAAAATACCATGTAAGTGTTGTAGGCCTATTTAAATGAAAAATTATAAAGTGAGAGAGAGAGGGTGCGGTAGCAAGCGAGAATAGAGATTATTTTTTTTTTTTACCTTTTCATTTTATTGCATGCATGTTATCTACATTGTAGTGAATCTTCTGCCGATCAACAAAATCTATTATAATCTAAAGTCACAAAAGGTGTCTATATGTGTTTAACAAGCTCTCTCCATCACAAACACACATGCAGACACATACGCATATAAATCTTGCAAACCTCAAGAAAATATCGCGAGATTGTAGTTACAGTGGTTAAGAGTCGTCGTCTCTACATTCATTGAGTGTTTATGTTTGAATCTTTCTTTTCTTGACATCGTTTGATTTTGTAAAAAGAGCTTGATTTCACCTCCATTCCCATACCACTTAAGTTGAAACTTGACAAACCAAGCATTCATTTTCTTTAAGCAAACTAGCCGGACTCAAAACTGGTGTACCGTGAATTGACATCTACAATTCACTACTTGGTGTCGTCATAAACACCGCTCAATACGGTACAACGTTGTTTTGATGAATTCCTGTAGGGCTTGGAAGTTGCAAATAAAGGGTGTCGCGATACTGGAATTATTTGAAGTAACAAAACTCTGCAACCAGCTCCAGCCTGCAGGCTCCTGAGCCGCGGGGAAGGCTAAAGTTTTACTGGACAGCTACTCATGTGGTAGGTCTTATAGTTAGTTCAATATAAAGTTTCGAATTCAGCAGCTCATCGCATGTTACTGAGTTTATATTTAGCAGAACTTGTTCTTTTTATATATATGCAACATGGAAATCAAAATGATTATATAAGAAGAGCAACAAGAAATTCTACATTTAAACTTCTTGAAATTCTTCACATAACGTATTCAGAAATTTTTAGAATTATACATAATTAACTGAAACAAGTTTAGATGCGTCCACTTCCATCAGTTTATATGCGCTTATGAAATTCTACATTTAAACTTCGTGAAACGTAAATGACTACATGAATTCTGAGGGCGTTGATTAAGGGTCAAGAATGGTGGTAGATATCCAAAAAGACTAGCTTGGCGTCTGTAAAGTTGGAGTTGATGTAATCTAGTTCATTTGACAGCAAAGAATTGAACAACTCTGCGCTTTGGTTTTGCAGCTTCAAACACTCTCTCAGTAACCCAGTTGAACTTATTTCCAATGAAGTGCAACCGATCGCTACAGCACTGAAAACACCAATTCTCCTAGCTCCGAGGCTACATAGATCCTGCAAAATACAACTTCAAACTTATGTATAAAAATCAGAGTGTGTGTCACACTATAGTACTGATGATATTTCATTTGATTAAGTTTACTTTGACGAATGTAGAAGCCGATCTGAGCAGAAGAGCAGCATATGAAGGAAAATCATACTGAAATTTCCGGATAAAGCTCGGATAGGACCTCAAAATGTCACTGCTGCTTGCTGAAACTAGAAATACACTCTTGGTTATAATTTTTCTTGTTCTCTTTTCTTCAACAGTCCCTTTCAGTTTCGCAGTGTACTCTTTGAAGTGTTCTAATTGCGCGGGCAGAGATAGAGCTCCCTGACAAATTTTTACTGTGATCTTCAGACTGATCATGTCTTTGAAGGGCTTCCCTCTCGTCATGGCTTGGGCCAGAAAGTAAAGAACCATGACTAAGCACGTCTCAAATTGTCGTAAATTGGCTCTGTGATTCATGATGGCTCGCATACGGAGTGACACGCCCCAATCCTAATGTCCTTAGGACATCGGGATGGTCACGTGCTGGCCAACATCTGAACGAAAGCCATTTAATGAATACAAATGCTGAGAACATGTGAAACGTGCACATAAATTGTAGCAAGATAATAGGATGTGACTATTCATGCAGTATGAGAGTACTATCACAATAATAATATTCAACTACCAACAATGAATATAATGATAATGCATGACATGTTAAGAGCATACATCTAATATAGAGTACAAGTGGAAGGTAAGATAGAGAAGTGCTATTACAATAGATGTCAAGTAGAGAGAATAGCATGGTGTCACTACTAGGGGAAAGCCTCATAGCGCGAGTCGTAATCCTCGTTCCTATGTCCTGAGAGGGCGCAAAACAACATGAGTGGACCAAGTTGATATATATATATATACTAAAACAGTTATCAACATACTAACCCCCAAAGTTTTATGAAAACTAATAGCATAATAAGTGGTAGGTTTTCCGAAAACACTAGCATGCCATAAAACATCTCATAAAACATATCTCGTAGATATGTGCTAGCTAGTGGTATCAGTATCAGTATCTCTCGGCCCGAAGCCAGTAACATATACCTCCTGCCACCATATATCTCCCTCAGCCTTATTTCTCCCTTGCCCGTAGGCAGAACAGTGACCACTAGATACGCACAAAACCATTGAACATAATCTTTCCAAACATAGGTACATATATTTCAAAAACATCTTCATAGTATAAAGTCATCCATTATCTATACTATAAAGAAGTGTGTAAAAACATGTTCTAAATAATATATCGTCATCCATCATATATCCTAAAAAGAACATGGGTTCAATAGAAAGTATGGTATTCCAAAATATTCTAAGAACATGGGTCCACTCACAGATACTCCGTCGTAGAAGAGCCATACGAAATAGGAATAATGGATTCGCCACTAATAATTGCACCTAAGCACATAAAGGGTACAATTAATAAAACTATACTCAAACTATTTAATTTGGAAAAACAGACGTCAAAAACAGGTTCAGGACGTCGAAATTAGCCTCGGAGGGGTCCCGGACCAAAACTCGAAAAAAGGCAAAAAGTCAACGTTGATTGGTCAAAGTCAAAGTCAATGGGTCTGGGTCAATCAACCCAGGTCAAATCGGGTCTGGGCTTGAGCTTGGGTTCTAAGGCCCAAGGGTTTTTGGGTCCAAGGGCCTGGGCTTGAAAGCCCTGCCCAAAGGTCTAGTAGGTTGGGTTTCAACGAGCTAGATGCAAAAGCCCGAAGGCCTAAGCTTACACGACCCTAAGGCCTGGGGTCGAAAGGGTTTAGGGTTTCCAATTGGGCTGTGCATTGAAGCTTGGCCCTATTGTTTTTGGGTTAATAAATTAAAATAACAATAATGAAAATTTAAAAAGGGTTTGGGTGTAAACAGGCCTAATGCCCGAGTTCTATACACGGCCCAAAGGGGCCTATTTTGATTGGATTTTGGCTGAGCCGACCCAACGACCTGGTTTCGACTGGGGAAAAAGGCGTCAGAGCTTCCTGTAACACTTGGAAAGTGTGTGTGTGTGTGTGTGTGTGTGTGATAGTAGTAAAATATTTTAGCTTTTAAATATTAAATAAGAAAATAATAATAATAACAAAACAGACAAAGGATGAGCTAACGTGTAGACATCCTAAACTCTTCTTCTTCTTCCCAACCATCACACTGGTGGGGAACTAAGATAATCTGATCTTGTTTATAAATTTTGGGGGTGATGTGAGTAGTCTAGAGGGGTGAGTAAGCATTCTAAAACAAAGAATGCAATGATGGGGTTAGAGAGAGTATTTCTAACTCTCACCTAAGAACTAGAGGAGAGCGAGAGGTTTTGAAAAGGGAAAAGTAGGAAAACGAAAAGAGGGGAGCTGAGAGGATGCCTGGTGTGTTCTTCAAGTGATACAAAAGGTTAGCTCAGCTTAGTTAATTTTCTATTTTCTTAGCCATTGCAACTTTGATTTCTAGACAACTGCAGTTCATGAGCCTCACTTTGGCTCCTGTTTTCTCTCAATCCATTACACCTTTTTAAAAAGTCTTCTTATATATTTGAAATTAGACATGACAAGGAACAAAGCCCAATTTATTTCACCGATTTTGGTTGAGATCTTCTATGGAACAATATGATATGAAAATGTGAAAAAAAAAAATCTGGAAATCTACAGATTTTCTGCAAAAAAAACTGTTTGTGAACTCAACTTTGGAGCTTGATTATTTTCTTCTCTTAAATCCGTTTTGAGAAACTTTTATTAGACTAGAAACTAGGTTTATTAAGCTTTAAAATCCAAGTAATTTCATCATTTTCCATGGAGTTTTGAGGGATGAAAATGGGGTCACAATATGGGGACTTAAGCTTGGTTCATCACAAGGTTGTGATAGGGGTATATTTGGGAACTTTTGATAGGCTGAAATTGAATCTTCATTCCAGTTTTATGCTAACTTTTATTATTATTTATGTGATTTTAGGCCTGGGAGTGACTCCGGACACTTCGAAGGCTTAGAGAGGTATTCTAGTTAGCTGGACTCGAGGTAGGGGCTCTATTTCCCGATGATAGGTCTATATTGTCACATCCCGGCCCGGGACGGATCACTTCCCGGGCCCGCTCCACCACCGTAGCACGATATTGTCCGCTTTGGGCCCCAACCATGCCGTCACGGTTTTGTTTTTGGGAACTCACGAGCAACTTCCCAATGGGTCACCCATCATGGGATTGCTCAAGCCCCCTTCTCGCTTAACTTCGGAGTTCCTACGGAACCCGAAGCTAGTGAGCTCCCAAAAGGCCTCGTGCTAGGTAGGGATGGGAATATACATTTAAGGATCACTCCCCTGGGCGATGTGGGATGTCACAATCCACCCCCCTTAGGGGCCCGACGTCCTCGTCGGCACACCACGGCCAGGGTTAGGCTCTGATACCAATTGTCACATCCCGACCCAGGCGAGACCACTTCCCGGGCCCGCTCCACCACCGTAGCACGATATTGTCCGCTTTGGGCCTCGACCACGCCCTCACGGTTTTGTTTCTGGGAACTCACACGAGAACTTCCCAATGGGTCACCCATCCTGGGAGTGCTTTCGTGCGCTACTCGCTTAACTTCGGAGTTCTCATGGAATCCCGAAGCCAGTGAGCTCCCAAAAGGCCTCATGCTAGGCAGGGATGGGAATATACATATAAGGATCACTTCCCTGAGCGATGTGGGATGTCACAGATATCATGTTTAATCTTTGTGATATTAGTAATTATATCTAATACAATAGTAATGAAATGTTTGGATGAAATTAAATCATTTGATTGTCATGGTTGTGTTATGGGTTGATAGTTTCTTTTCCGGTGTATTTTATATATCGACTATGTTAAATGTTGTTATGTTTTGATGTATGGTTGAGCTATGTAAAATTGCTGGATTGAATATGTTGAGGTTTACAATTGTATTAGTGAAATTGAAGTGCTCAGGTTGCATTATACAGAGTCAAGTGTTGGGTTGTGTAAAGTTTTGGTTAAACAAAGTGTTGGAAAATTATATATATGTTCAACCATCGAGGGAAGGGCTTGAGCATATAGTTCGGCATCAGGGGAAGGGCCTATATTAATGAAACTGAAACTACTAAGAAAATTCGGGGTTAAGGGAGGAATGGGGAGTTAACTTATATTCTATGGTGCTCGAAACCAGGTGGTATAAGCATGGTATGGGACGTGCCGGTTTGGATGCCATAAATATAAGTGAGAGGGATTAGAAGGGGGTGAGTTCATCGGTACTTCTTTGTCATATCATTTGTATTTTACCGTATTGTTTGATGCATGGAACTTTGATTAATTGTGATAAATGAACTTGAAGGGTATATGGTTTCTACTGGGCATGAAATGCTCACACCCTATTAGCTATTGCAAGTACCAGTATGGAGGAACATGATGATGACCTGTCTCTAAATGAATAGCCATATCATTCGTGGGCTCTCTCTCTCTCACTCCCATTCACCTCTGGATTTCTGGGGTTCATCGAGCTCCACAGAGGTGAGGGGGAATGAGAGAGAGAGCCCATGAAGGTGGTGCTAGCGCTGCATCTTCGTCGGGGTGGCTTGGGTGTGATAGTGGGTGTGTGGGTGCAATCGGGAAAGGGAAGTCCTAGAGAAAGATAGAGAGTGAAGGAGTGAGAGAGAAGAGTGAGCTGAAAGAGTGAGAGACCCGAGAGAGAGAGAGAGAGATAAGTGAGTTAAGAGACCGCCACGTGGCAATGCGGGGGAGGAAGGAAATCAAGATGGAGGGTCTGGATTATATTAGGATAGGGGACCAAGTTGCAAGATTCTATAAACTTTTAGGGAATTTGTCGGATTACATAGAAATTTGGGAGAGGGATTTTACATGGAGACCTTTTTTTTTTTTTTTTTTTTTATCAACGTATTTAGAAGGAGAACTATATATGACTGAAGTTTAAGTGATCTTAGTCTAGAGTTGAGCTACACCCACCCACCCCCTCCAAAGCTGAAAAAATTTGTATCAGCTCTCTCTCTTTCTCTCTTTCTCGATGTTAGCAAAAGAGATATGGGAAGAAAATTATAGTAACTACGAATCCAACATCGAATGATCATTAATTGTTTGCTTCTTTACAAATGACAAATTCCAAATGATGTAATCAGAATCTAAACACTTTATAGCACATCTCATACATGAAAATGAATGCTCTAAAACTCATTTCTCTCTCCTAAGCCATGAAAAAAGCATCCAAAAAGTCGACCAATTTTTTCAAAAAGCAAACTCTCTGCAAATGCAATTTCCTGGAGAAATCTTAATAATCTCTTCCATTAGGGTCCAACTTTAGCTTGATCAGCTCCAACGCTACCTGAAACAGCACACAAGTTTGGTACTCAGACACCAACTCATTCTTCAGCTTCTTAACCTCCCCTGCTCTTCTCAACCGACGAATAATTGTCATCACATTCTCCATCTGCTTTTCCAAATTTCTTGCAAGTCCCACCAAGTGCACCAGCAATTCCACCAGCAATACCACCAGCCCAGCTTTGCCGCCGTCAGAAGACTCAGCCGGAAGGCTAGGAGGAGAAGACAACCCAGCCGGATAAATCGGGTTCAAAACAAACTCCCTCAAATTAATCTGCAACTGCATAACATCTTCCTTCTCTTTGTCCAGCGCATTCATCAGCATCCAAATATCTACATTACTCGGTATCCTCACCCCAACTACTTCCTTCAACTGACCAATAGTCATCTTCACAATCTGTAATTGCTTTGCCAACCTCCTTACAAATTCTGACAGCCGGAATTTGCCGCCGCCATAAGACTCAGAGCTGGAAGTAGAAGACGGCCCAGCCAAAAAAACGGGATTGAAAACAAAGTCGTCCACATTGAAATTCCATCCGCTAAACCCCATATCCTCACCCTTTAGTTCTCCATAGTTTACCTTGCCCAACAAGTCACCCAAACCCCTGTTTCTTTTCTTGTATCTCTCCTCGACGCTCTCCAAATGCGGAAGCACAGTCCCCACCAGATAATCCTTGCCCCCGCAGTTGTCGAAAAACGAGTGCTTCAGCAGCGCCTCTGCCGCCGGCCGCTTCTCCGGATCCCGATCAAGGCAAGAACCCACCAAGTCCTTGAAAGCCGCAGAGTACTTCTGGTTCCGGAAATCTTTGATGATGTTTTCGTAATCCGCAAGCCGAAACCTGTTCTTGACCTTCAGAATTTGGGTCCCTAGTAATAGCGGCAAGCCAGACAGGGGAGGGCCGCCCAGAGCCAATTCCAGCGCCGTGATCCCAAATGCCCAGATATCCGCCTTGCATCCACCTCCGCCCGGCGCCACCCAATACGGCCTTGTAGAAGTATCGTTTGCCCCAGTTGAAAAATCAGCGTCGTAGAAAGAAGCAGAGACCCCGAAATCTGCGAGCTTGACTGACCCATCAGAGTCAACCAAGATGTTTCCAGGCTTGATGTCGCCGTGGAAGCGTCCGTGGCTATGGAGATACGACATGGTGTTTAGCGTCTCTTTCAGGACGACTGCAATGCAGGGCTCTGGTAATCCTCCCGGGAAAGCAGAGGGGGCGATTATTACGGATTGCAGAGAGCCGAAGGTCATGAACGGCATGACCACCCAAAGACGGCGCTCGGCAGTGGTGAAGGAGCAATGATCGCCGAGAATGTTGGGGTGGGAAAGAGACAGACTCTTGGTGTCGCGTAGCTTACTCTCGAAATCAGCCGTGGATTGATTGAGCTCGACGGACTTGATTGCGACAATTGCAGAGTTCATGGGGACACAGATGGCCTTGTAGACGACGACCTTGTCGCCAGAGCCGATTTCTTGGAGGCTTTCGTACGCCGCGGAGTCCAACGGGAATTGGACCTTTTGTGGGTTATCTTGGTGGGAGGGAGAAGACGAAGAAGTCGCCATTGGAGATGACAAAGATGAAATCTTGAAGAATAGAAGTGGGTTGTTTGAATTTCTGTGAAATGGGTGTTGATGAAGAAGATGAATGTAGGGTTTCGCAGAACTAATTCTTGTGAAAGGTTGATGCTTTGGGAGGAAGACGACGATGCATGAGACTCTGTGTGACTTTGTGCTGCTCTGCTTTTATTTACTTATATAATAAAAAAATGGTAAGAAAATGAGGTTATTTTGGGGATTTTCTACTCCAATTGGTGGGAGGAAAATTATATTTAAGTTTTAATTTTTGCCCCTAGATTTTGTTAATTAGCAGAATCATCAACATTCTGTTGCGAGGTTGTTTTGGTAATTAGGGTTGGGAGAGGTTGGTTAAGAATATAATACAGTTAGAGTAAGTTGGTTTTCTGTTATTTTCCATGTCAACGATATCTTGGGATGCAAGGCATAATGCCCGAATATGAGACATGCCCATCATCTGATTGTTAATCAAACTGTATAAATATCTTGAAAAGACTACAAGAATATGAACAAAATACGTATTTGAGATCTGCAAGTCCAATACCAAGACCGATCTACTAACCGATTGAAATCAATCTTCAATATATAAATAAAAATCAAGTAACCCTCAATAAAATAAGCGACGCATCATCGTATAGTTCAAATTTGGTTTAAATAAATTGGTTTATCTAGCATGATTCTTTGTTGTAATGTTAGGAGATAAAATTTTAACTCAAGTTTTTGTAAAATATACGACATGGTGATTGATGATTGGATTATTATTAATGTATTTATTTCCTGTGGGGGACAAATCATATGATTTGCAAATTTGTCTATACATTTGGTGGGAGAGAGATAGGGTGCGGTCGGAAGAGACAATAGAAATATTTTTTTTACCTTTTAATTTTAGAGAACTATTATTAACACTCTAAAAATCTCATTCTACACTCCTCATAAGTGTCATTTTTGTACTAATTATAGAAAGTTTGAAGTGCAAAATGAAATTTTTGGAGTGCCAATAACAATTCCCTAATTTTATTGCCTATATGATATGTGAATTGTAGTGGATCTACTGCAGATCAACAAAATCCATACTAATCTAAGGTCACAAAAAATATCTTTATTTGTTTAATAAGTCCTCTCTTTCACAGACACACACACACACACATCTTGCAAATTCCTCAAGAAAAGTATCACGAGATTGTAGTTACAATGGTTAAGAGTCGTCACCCCTACATTCGTCGAGTGTTCATGGTTGAATCTTTCTTCTCTTGACAGCATTTGATTTTGTAGAAAGAGCTTGATTTCAACTTTATTTCCAAACCAGCTAACTTGAAACTTTGACAATCCAAGAATTCGTTTTCATTAAGCAAACTAGCTGTATTCAAAACTGGTGTACCGTGTATCCACATCTACAATTCACTACTTGGTGTCGCCATAAACACCGCTCAGTACGGTACAACGTTGCTTTGATGAATTCCTGCAGGGCTTCAAAGTCGCGAATAAAGGGTGTCGCGATACTGGAATTATTTGAAGTAACAGAACTCTGCAACCAGCTCCAGCCTGCAGGCACCTGCGCTGCAGGGAAGGCTAAGTATGTTCAATATAAAGTTTCGGATTCAACAGCTCATCGCATGTTACTGAGTTTCCATTTCGCAGAACTTGTTCTTTTTTTATATATGCAACATGGAAATCAAAATGATTATATAAGAAGAGCAACAAGAAATTCTACATTTAACTGAAACATGTTTAGATGCGTCCACTTCCATCGTTTTATATGCGTTTATGAATTAAACCAATCAAGCGTCGATAAGTGGTAGTCTTGAAAGAAACTGTGTATGTATTTTCGAAGAATCTGAGAAGCAATGATTCTACAAGCTCTTTCCGTGAAACGAACTGAATCGCAGTAGACATATATATTTAGATGCATTTGTACATCCCAACGGACTGCATTTGTTACAGAATCACCCCACTTATGTTGTTCCAGTACCACAACAGCCAATCTTTGTAACTTCGAATCCTGAAGTTAATATAGCAATTAGCAAACATAAATATGAGAGCTAAAAGCTGAAAACGAAATGAGTATTAACCCTAAGCTGAAACAAAACTATGCAACCAATTGCTACAGCACTGAAAACACCAATTCTCCTAGCTCCGAGGCTATATAGATCCTGCAAAATACAACTTCAAAACTTATGTATAAAAATCAGAGTGTGTGTCACACTACAGTACTGATGATATTTCATTTGATTAAGTTTACTTTGACGAATGTAGCGGCCGATCTGACCAGAAGAGCAGCATATGAAGGAAAATCATACTGAAATTTCCGGATAAAGCTCGGATAGGACCTCAAAATGTCACTGCTGCTTGCTGAAACTAGAAATACACTGTTGGCTATAATTTTTCTTGTTCTCTTTCTTCAACAGTCACTTTCGGTTTCACAGTGTACTCTTTGAAGGGTTCCAATTGCGCGGGACTGCTGCTTGCTGAAACTAGAAATAGACTGTTGGTTATAATTTTTGTTGTTCTCTTTTCTTCAACAGTCCCCTTCGGTTTCGCAGTGCTCTTTGAAGCGTTCTAATTGCGCAGGCAGAGATAGAGCTCCCTGACAACTTTTTACCGTGATCTTCAGATTGTGATCATATCTTCGAAGGGCTTCTCTCTCGTCACGACTTGGGCCAAAAAGTAAAGAGCTATGACTAAGCACGTCTCAAATTGTCGTAAATTGGCTCTGTGATTCTTGATGGCTCCCATACGGAGGCCTTTTTTTTTTTTATTTTTTTTTATCAAACCGTATGGAGAAGGAGAAGTATATATGACTGAAGTTTCAGTGCTCTTAGTCTAGAGGTAAATGCTCTTAACTAGTTGAGCTACACCCACCCACCACCCCTCTGAAGCGATAAAATTTGTATCACCTCTCTCACAATGTTAGCAAAAGAGATATGGGAAGAAAATTATAGTAACTATGAATCCAACATCGGATGATCATTAATTCTTTGCTTCTTTACAAATGACAAATTCCAAATGATGTAATCAGAGTCTAAACACTTTATAGCATATCTCATACATGAAAACGAATGCTCTAAAACTCATTTCTCTCTCTCCTAAGCCATGGAAAAAGCATCCAAAAAGTCGACCAATTTTTTCAAAAGGCAAACTCTCTGCAAATGCAATTTCCTGGAGAAATCTTAATAATCTCTTCCATCAGGGTCCAACTTTAGCTTGATCAGCTTCAACGCTACCTGAAACAGCTTACATGTTGTGAACTCAGGACGCCAACTCCTTCTTCAGCTTCTCAACCTCCCCTGCTCCTCCCAACAGACGAATAATTGTCATCACCTTCTCCATCTGCTTTTCCAAATTTCTTGCAATTCCCAGCAATTCCACCAGTAATTCCACCAGCAACACCACCAGCCCAGCTTTGCCGCCGTCAGAAGACTCAGTTGGAGGGCTGGGAGGAGAAGACCACCCAGCCGGATAAATCGGGTCCAAAACAAACTCCCTCAAATTAATCTGCAACTGCATAAGATCTTCCTTCTCTTTGTCCAGCGCATTCATCAGCATCCAATTCCCTACATTATTCGGCATCCTCACCCCAACTGCTTTATTCAACTGACCAATAGTCATCTTCACAGTCTGTAATTGCTTTGCCAACCTCATTACAAATCTTGACAGCCGGAATTTGCCGCTGCCATAAAACCTAGAGCTGGAAGTAGAAGACGGCCCAGCCAAAAAAGCCGGGTTAAAAACAAAGTCGTCCACGTTGAAATTCCATCCGCTAAACCCCATATCCTCACCCTTTAGTTCTCCATAGTTTACCTTGCCCAACAAGTCACCCAAACCCCTGTTTCTTTTCTTGAATCTCTCCTCGACGCTCTCCAAATGCGGAAGCACAGTCCCCACCAGATAATCCTTGCCTCCGCAGTCATGGAAAAACGGGTGCTTCAGCAGCGCCTCTGCCGCCGGCCTCTTCTCCGGGTCCCGATCAAGGCAAGAACCCACCAAGTCCTTGAAAGCCGCAGAGTATTTCTGGTTCCGGAAATCTTTGATGATGTTTTCATAATCCGCAAGCCGAAACCTGTTCTTGATCTTCAGAATTTGATTCCCTGATAACAGCGGCAAGCCAGACAGGGGAGGGCCGCCCAGAGCCAATTCCAGCGCCGTGATCCCAAATGCCCAGATATCCGCCTTGCACCCACCTCCGCCGGGCGCCACCCAGTACGGCCTTGCAGAAGTATCGTTTGCCCCAGTTGAAAAATCAGCGTCGTAGAAAGAAGCAGAGACCCCGAAATGTGCGAGCTTAACGGACCCATCAGAGTCAACCAAGATGTTTCCAGGCTTGATGTCGCCGTGGAAGCATCCGTGGCCATGGAGATACGACATGGCGTTTAGCGTCTCTTTCAGGACGACTGCAATGCAGGGCTCTGGTAATCCTTTCGGGAAAGCAGAGGGGGCGATTATTACGGATTGCAGAGAACCGAAGGTCATAAACGGCATGACCACCCAAAGACGGCGCTCGGCGGTGGTGAGGTCGGTGGTGGTGAAGGAGCAGTTGTCGCCGAGAATGTTGAGGTGGGAAAGAGACAGATTCTTGGTGTCGCGTAGCTTACTCTCGAAATCGGCCGTGGATTGATTGAGGTCGACGGACTTGATTGCAACGATTGCAGAGTTCATGGGGACGCAGACGGCCTTGAAGACGACGACCTTGTCGCCAGATCCGATTTCTTGGAGGTTTTCGTACGCGGCGGAGTCCAACGGGAATTGGACCTTTTGTTGGCTATCTTGGTTGGAGGAAGAAGACGAAGAAGTCGCCATTGGAGAAGACAAAGACGAAATCTTGAAGAATGGAAGTGGGTTGTTTGGATTTCTGGGAAATAGGGTTTCTGCTGAACTAATTCTTGTGAAAGGTCGATGCTTTGGGAGGAAGACGACGATGCGTGAGACTGTGTGACTGTGTACTGCTCTGCTTTCATTTACTTATATAATAAAAAATGGTAAGAAGATGAGGTTATTTTGGGGATTTTGAACTCCAATTGGTGGGAGGAAAATTATATATAAGTTTTGAATTTTGCCCCTAGATTTTGTTAATTTGCAGAATCTTCAACATTCTGTTGCGAGGTGGTTTTGGTAATTAGGATTGGGAGAGGTTGGTTAAGATAATAAATACAGTTAGAGTTAGTTGGTTTTCTGTTATTTGCCATGTCAACGATATCTTGGGATGCAAGGCAAGATGCCCAAATATGAAACAACCCCATCCGCTCATTGATCCATCGTATAAATATTTTGAAAAGACCAAGAATATGAACAAAATACGTATTTGAGACTTACAAGTCCTTGAAACCAGACCAACCTACTAACCTATTGAAATCATTCTCCAATATGTAATTAAAACTTAAGTAAGCCGTCAAAAATGTCTTAAGATGTCTTAAGTTTGTATTCAAAAATAAAAAATTCGTAACTATTTTATTTTCTCCCTCTTGGTGTAAATATATCACTTTATCAAAAATACTGTCTAATTGTTGTAGGCCTATTTAAATAAAAAATTATAGAGAGGGAGGGAGGGGGTGCGACGGCAAGAGAGAATAGAGAACATCATTTTATTGCCTATATGTTATCTGCATTGTAGTGGATCTTGTACAGATCAACAAAATCTTTAATAATCTAAAGTCACAAAAGGTGTCTTTATTTGTTTAACAAGTGATCTCTCTCATAGACACACACTCGCAGGTACAAACACATATCGCAAAGCTTGAGATAGGTATCACTAGATTGTAATTACAATGGTTAAGAGTCGTTACCTCTACATTCTCAAAGGGTTCACTTTTGAATCCTTCTTCTCTTGACATCGTTTGATTTTGTAAGAAGAGCTCGATTTCAACATCATCCCCAGACCAGCTAAGTTGAAACTTGGCAATCCAAGCATTAATTTTCTTTAAGCAAACTAGCCGGATTCACTACTTGATGTCGTCATAAACACCGCTCAATACGGTACAACGTTGCTCTGATGAATTCCTGCAGGGCTTCGACGTTGCAAATAAAGGGTGTCGCGATACTGGGATCGTTTGAAGTAACAAAACTCTGCAACCAGCTCCAGCCTGCAGGCAGCTGCGCTGCGGGGATGGCTAAGTTTTTCGGGACAGCTACTCATGCAGGAGGTCTTATAGTTAGTACCATTTAAAATTTCGAATTCAGCAGCTCATCGCATGTTACTGAGTTTATATTTTGCAGTTAGTATTTATGATGAATTTGTTCTTTTTTATATATGCAACATGGAAATCAAACAGATTATAGAAGAAGAGCAACAAGAAATTCTACATTTATAGCTTCTTGAAGTATTCACATATGTCGGGTATTAAGAAATTAACACATACGAATTAAACCAGTAGAGCGTGGTAGCCTCAAAAGAAACTGTTTATGTAGCTTCGAAGAATCCGAGAAGAAATGACTCTACAAGCTCTTTCCGTGAAGTGAACGAGCACCAGTAGACATATTTAGATGCATCTGTACATGTCAACGGACTGACATTTTGTTACAGGATATCCCCACTTCTGTTATTCCAGTACCACAACAGCCAATCTTCGTAACTTCGAATCCTGAAGTTAATATAGCAATAAGCAAAACAAAACAACGCAAACTAAAAACTGAACACGAAATGATTATTAAACGGCCTCTAAGTAAATGACCACCTGAATTCTAAGGGCGTTGATTGAGGTCAAGAGAATGGTGCTAGATATCCAAAAAGACTGGCTTGGCATCTGGAAAGTTGGCGTTGATGTAATCTAGTTCAGTTGACAGCATAGAATTGAACAACTCTGCTCTTTGGTTTTGCAGCTTGAAACACTCTCTCAGTAACCCTGTTGAATTTTCTTCCCAATAGAGTGCAACCAATCGCTACGGCACTGAAAAAGCCAAATCTCGTAGTTCCGATGCTACATAGATCCTTCAAAATATAAGTTCAAAACTTATGTATAAAAATCAAAGTGTGTTACTTCATTTGATTAAATTTACTTTGACGAATGTAGAAGCCGCTCTGACATACTGAAATTTTCGGATAAAGCTCGGATGGGACCTCAAAATGTCGCTGCTGCTTGCTGAAAAATAGAAAGACTGTTGGTGTTAGAGGAGCACAACCGGAGCCACCTGAAGCGAAGGATACACCAGTTGGAATATCTTCTCTCTGCAGATTTGGGTCAAGATATGCTGCCAAAAGTTCCTTGATTCCCCGCCTTCCACTACATATATAATTAAAACTTCGAAAACAGATCACGAAATATAGTTACAAAATAACGTGGATCCAGATATAGTTAAAGTACTAAACTGCTAATACTGTAGTCTATATCCATCCATCTAGGTACAAATCAACGTTTTAAAAGGCAAAGGAGAAGGTAAGGCGTTTTATGGATAGCTTCGAGGCCACCTCACGGTACCTAAAATTATATTATATGATTATATAAAGTATAAAAGTTTGTAAAACAAATATCTATTGTCATTCAAAAGTGCAGAAGTTTAACTCAGAAAAATACGAACAAATAAATTATTCACTCAAATCCTCTTCATCCAAATCAAAAGTAATGTCATCTTCTTCATTGCCAAGTCTAGTTGAACTTGAAAGGTGTGTCAAATAGTCTTCAAAAGAATCTTCTGACTTATGCTTCAAAATTGTGTTTCTTTGACTCGAGGTTTCCTCATTAATGCGTTTTCTTTTGTAGGTAATAAGAACTCGAGGTTGAGTTGGCTCATGGGGCGGAGTAAGTTCACGGAGAGGAGTAGGCTCACAAGGAGGAGGAGAAGGCTGTCGAGGAGGAGGAGAAGGCTCTCTAGGGTCTCGAACTTGTGGGCTATCTTCATAAATCGGGAGTGGCACATTCCTTACGGCCTCCGCATTGAACAATGACTCATCTTCAAGCCATCTAGGATCTTGGGGAAGAACGGGATCTTCTCGTTCCGTTATCCATTCATCATCCGAGTCAATTTCTTCTACAAGAATTGGATCACACCTCCCACTTCTTTTAAGACTTCGCTCGCTTAAAGCCAAATTATACTTCACATATGCTAAAGCATTTAGCCTTTTGTGTTCAAGTCCATTCCTCTTTTTTTTATGAATCTACAAAAAAAATTAAAGAACTTAATGATTCATTTCATTTGTTCAAGTCTAATCCTCTTAAGCAACATGCCATATAAAAAATAAAAAATAATTATTTACGTACCATTTGGAATGTGCTCCAATTCCTCTCACATCCCGATGCACTACAAGTAAGGCCAAGAACACGGATGGCAAACCTCATCAACTCAGGTGTTCGATTCCCAAAACGCTGCCACCAACCCACTATAAGAAACCAAAGTTAACAAACCACATTAATCAGGTAAGTTTAAACTTTGAACTTTATTTAAGGCTAACATAATAATATGTTAAGAATTGACTTTTTAGTTCTTACAAGGTGTTCGCCTTTTCCTAGTTTTCATTGCCATAGGATCCGCAAAATCACCAAATCTACGATCATATAAGTCCAATTGGATATCCGCATCTTCACGTTCTTTGGAATTTCCAAGCATCCTATCCATGCAAGCAAACAACCCATTTCTTATTTCTTCAGTATTTGAGAAATTATCTTCATACCGAAATTGTGGATTCAAGTAATAGCCCGCCGCATATAGTGGTTGGTGAAGTTGATCGTTCCATCTATGATCTATCTTTTTCCAAATTGGCATATACTTTTTCTCCACTTTGTTAAGATTGTTAGCAATTTTCTCTTTTACGACATCTATCAACTCATACATAAATCCCATGGCATGTCTCTCTTCCGAGTCAACCTCTCTCAAGACACAAACAAGTGGAAGAACACCTCTAATGCAAAAGGAAACTCTACCCCAAAACTCATGATCATGTATCACATAATACTTAGCCAACTTTGCTTCACGGGATTTTGCATAGGTACTTTCAGACCATTCTTGGGAGGAAAACAAAGCAACAAGATTCTCCTTTTGCTTTTGTAAGATTTGAAGTGTAAGAAAAGAAGTGGCAAACCTAGTGACTGCTGGACGAAGAATTTCCGTATTGTTGGTGAACTTTCTCATCAAAGCGAGTACCCATTGATGCCCATAAAGATACTTCGTTACACACTTAGCATGTTTAAGTGTGTCATCAAACCATTTCATCTTAGCAATATCCTTTAGCATTAAATCAATGCAGTGAGCCGCACATTGAGTCCACCACAACTTCTCTTTTCTCTCCATAAGTTTTGCCCTCGCATTCTTGTAGTTGGAAGCATTATCGGATATGACTTGAACTACATTCTCCTCCCCAATTTCTTGTATAACATCATCCAAGTAGCCATATAACAAATCTTCATTTTTAATGGAGGCCGATGCATCTACCGATTTCAAAAACCATGTACCTTGAGGGCTATTGATAAGAAAGTTAATTAGACACATACTTTTACCATCTGACCATCCATCCAACATAATGGTGCATCCATATCTCTTCCAAGCTTTTACATGATCTTGCATCTTTCTCTGTACATCATCAACTTCTTCTTTGAGCATCCAAGTCCTATACTCATGGCTTGTAGGAGCTTCAAAACCGGGACCAAAGTCGGAGACCGCTTTCATTGCTTGAAAATAATAATCTGAGTTTGCCGCATTGAATGGAATGGCACTAGCGTAAAACCATTGCGCAAGTTTTCGGCACACTTGTTTCCTTTCCTCTTTTTTAAAAGGTGTATTCAACGTGGCTCGGTGAGCTTCTAAAGAAACATACCTATCTCCCTTTGACCTAGGTGGTAGAGTTGAACTGTGTTGTGAAGCTGGAACACTCTCGTTCCCACTCCCACTCCCTCGAGAGCTATTTCCATAGTATGCCGTTGTGTTCACTCCCATGTCCATACTCTCACTTTCTTCTTCGACACCACGACACAATTC